GAAATGGACCATGCCTTGGCGCTTGCCCTGGTCCCACCCCCTTCTGCCAGAAACCCTCAGATCTGTCCCACTCCTGCCCAGGCCCCCACAGGCCCCCATGACGCGAACGATGTAGAGCTGGCCATGCCCACCCATTCCATCCACGCCCACCCAGTAGGCCGTCCCCCCCCCCCCGCGAGCAACTGCAATGCTGATGCGGCCCTCAATGAAATTGAGTTTGACACCCCTGGCCTAATCCATTGCTCTGACCTGTGGGAGGGGGGGTTGGCAGGCGTGAAAGCAGGTAATTTGTCTCTCTGTTTCCTTTCCTGCTTCCTTCTTTCTGACATTCCTTTTCAGGCCTCCTTCTCTTCGTTTGTGCTTGCCAGTGTTTGAAGCAGATTGCTTGTGGAGAACTCTTGGAATCGGTCCAAGGGCTGTATATAGCTTTAGAACTGTCCAGCTACCCAACCTAGTGTATAGTTTACATACTCAGTAATGATGGAACTCTCCTTGCTTTCTTCAAACTTCACCTCTTCCTCCCTTTTCTTCTCACTATATCATTGCCTGTTTTGGTAACGGGCCATTCAAATTCCTGCGTGCATTTTGACCTTTCTGCTTCCTATGATGTTGAGATCGACACACTGAAAGGCAGATATTTGTAACAAGTGGGAAAATGCACAAAGCAGGAGAGTGCATTTTGTTGCAGAGTGTTTATAAAGGAAAAATCCACAATTGATTTAAAATAGTAAGCATATAAACTCAATCACGGTATAGACAATTAAAAACAGAGAGACATAGAGTTTATTCTGAGCATAAAAATGGCACATGAACATTTTGAGTTAATGATAAATATGAAAACAAAATCCAGCATATAGAATAAACTCACAATTTACAGGAAAGCAGAGGATGGTGGGTATATCTACTTTTTTTTTTTTTTTTGGTGCTCAAGAATAAAGTTAGACAATGTACTGGAGAAATAAAGAGATAATCCAAGGGAGGAATACAATGGCAATTATAAACAAGATCATGAAAGACCAGAATACTTTTAAAACAACAAATATCAGAACGGTATTTTTTTTTAGTGTTAATATATAGTTATGGAGGGTGGATTTTGAGAAGGGCTAAAAGAAAGATGCTTTTGAATTGTAGATTTGAAGATAATTCCTAAAAGTATCGCTGAATCCAAGATGAAGTTAACATTGATTGTTGTCTTTAGGAGGTGAATAGTAAGCAGGGGGTTAGCATAATTTTATTGATGGACTAGAAAAAAATTAGCAAGGTTGAGAGAAGTCAGAGAGGAAGACAGTGCATAAAGAGGAGGTGGATAAATCAATAGGATTGCAAGAATATCTCCATATTTTTAGTTGGAATAGGGCAAGTTGAAAGGCATTTGTTAAACAGGCAGAATTAAGACCTGACTTGGTGGCGCATCACTAACTGTAGTTTCCAGAGAGAGGAGTGAAGGATATTACCCCAGATAAGTCTCCACAAATTGGATACTACTTGATATTATGGGGTTTCTGATGCACTTACATAGCAAAAGATCCCATTACATTTATACACAGACTCACACTTCATTACCTAAAAAACCCCAGAGCCTTGGCAATGAATTTAATCCTGCAAGTTGGAGTTAAGAGTGCAAGCAGACTACATTCTGTTACATTAGTCAATGAGATACTAAAAAAAAAATATAGCAGACTAAAATATTTTTTCCAAGCAAAATCAATAACTATGATATTATTTTGAAATATAATCACCAAGGACCACAGATGGAGAAATAGTTTTCTTTTAAAAATGTTCCAGAACTGGTGTGGAAAAAGCTGCAATGATTTTGAAAACATATTGCTACAGACTGCCAAACGATTTTTGTCTTGGCAGGTTAAATGCCCTTGGATTTTAGATAAATGAGATGAAAGATATATATTAAAATAATATCCTCCTTTTGTCCTTAATGAATCTTGTTACATTAGGTAGAATAGTAAATTACAGAATACTTTTTGATTTTTCCTTCTTTTGCTGTTTGCTATTAAAACACACACACACACACACACACACACACACATTAAGAGTAACATTTAAAATGAAGCTATTTTTGCATAGATAAAATATTCTATCAAGGCGCAGTCAGTGGGCTGGTTCTCACCAGTTCTGCTGGCTTTCTTCAGTGGAGCATTTTTAAAGAAACATTTTAGCACTCACTTTAATGAGAACACAAACTAATGGATGTTTCAGAATTGCTTCATTTGTAAGCTTGCTTTGGATTGTTATGTAATTACCTTATGGAATAATCTTGGGCTATCAGGAAGTTTCTAACCTTTGAAATTTAACTTAATCCTTATTAACTAAAGGTGAATAAATACGTATGCTACAAATGTAATATTCTTAAGGAATTGACAATCCTCACGCAGAACTGATTAATCTTTTTAAAATATACGAGTTTCTTTTTTAAATAACACACTGCATGTATTTGCAACATAATAGAAAAGTGAGGGAGGGCAAGATGTTTAAAATCAATTCTCTTCCAGAAAGATGTTCACAAGGATTTTGCTTTAAATTGTCCCCTGCAATAGATCTCTCTAAACCCCAAGCAGTATGTATATGGCAGGTTCTGCAGTGGAATGGGCCTTCTTTTTCTGTATATCTATGAATGCATCAGAATGCAGTTTAAATTCCACTGCCAGTGGTACATTTGAATCTACTGAACTCAACTTTGCTGGATTGCATAGCAGTGGCATAGAGAAAATATCCCTGCGCTGCTATCAAAGAGGAATTTAAAGCACCTTTAATGGAGAGGATGAGTATCATGTACACAGACCCCAAACCAGGGGATGAACACAGAAACTGTGAGCAGTTAAGATAGAGGAAATAAGCCCTATCAGCGACAAAATGACAAATCATCTTTTCATCAAATATGTAAACAGACTTTTGGAGGCCGAAACACATTCAATCTTTTCCCAATTGGCTAGTCAGATTTGTTGTGTATTGCTATTCGAGATCTTTTGGATGTGAACCACAATTTTGTTCCACGTTCTGGGGCTGCCTTAAAATCTTTGCTCATGAATGCATCTACCTGCTTCTCAAATAATTGTCCATGCCTTTTGCCCTTTTCTTCTTCCCTTAAATATGTCTAAATAGATTTCTAGAATAGAATAGAGCTGGAAGGGACCTTGGAGGTCTTCTAGTCAGACTCCTGCTCAAGCAGGAGATCCTATACTATTTCAGACAAGTGACTGTCCAGTCTCTTCTTAAAAACCTCCAGTGATGGCGCGCCCACGATTTCTGAAGGCAAGCTGTTCCACTGGTTAATTGTCCTCACTGTTAGGAAGTTTCTCCTTAATTCCAGGTTGCTTCTCTCTTTGATCAGTTTCCAACCATTGTTTCTTGTCCTTCTCTCTGGTGCTTTGTAGAATAATTCGACCCCCTTTTCTTTGTGGCAGCCCCTCAAATACTGGAATACTGCTATCATGTCTCCCTTATTTCGTCTTTTCTTTAGACTAGCCAAACCCAGCTCCTGCAGCCGTTCTTCATATGTTTTAGTCTCCAGGCCTTTGATCATCTTAGTTGCTCTTCTCTGAACTTTTTCCAAGGTCTCAACATCTTTTTTGCAGTGTGGTGACCAAAATTGGTTGCAGTATTCCAGGTGTGATATCACTACCGTTGTATAAAGCGGTACTAATACTTTGCGTCAGGGCTTTTTTTCTCATAGAACGCCCAGAACGGAGTTCCGGCACCTTTTTTGGATGGAACCTTGTAGGGTAGGCAAGGTGGGTTGTATGACGTATGTGAGTTCCGGCACCTTTTTTTTTTTTTTTTTTTTTAAGAAAAAAAGCACTGCTTTGCGTGATCTTGATTCTATGCCTCTGTTTATACAACCCAGGATTGTATTAGCTTTTGTGTTTATTTATCCATATCTATCTATAAAGAGAGCATTTAATGAACACATTTGTATTAAATAATTTATGCACTCAGGTTTTATTTCTGCTACTCCCTTAGCTTTGACTTAGCAATCCTATCTGGAAGGCACGCGTATGCTTTTTGCAAAATAAGGGAGCCCTGTGTCAGAGGTATATACTGTAGGGGTTTATTAATGAAAAAAACTACAGTCGTTCGAACTGGACTGAGCAGAGTGGGGAGGTTTTTTTTTTTTCCTTTGGCTCCAGGTTTAGAGACAGAATTGTCATGTTAGAGTGGGTAGTTTGACACTGGATCCTCATTTTCATCACACCACCAACCTCTCTGCTGTTTCTGATATCAGAAAACCACACAGGAAAAGGCTAATAAGGATGTGTGGCAGCAGGCTAGTAGGGGCTGAGAATACAAAGGATCCGCAATGTTTTCTGTCCTCATCCTGCCTCTTTACAATCACTAGAAAAAGTACACAGCTTTATAAACAAGTCTTCCTTCCGGTGCTTCCAATAGATAGGCACAATAAAAATAATAATACCTGCAGCAATAACAGCTATTCCTTTCCGATTTGGTCCTGCTAATCTCAAGCACACTCTGATTTGAAGTTAACTTGCATCACATCTGCAATGGATCTGGTCACTATTTTCTTAGTGAGCCAAAATGTTATCCTCAAAATGCACTCCTAGACCACATTTCAATACTAAGAGGTACCTACAATTTCAATATATCTAGATCTTTCTAATACGGTAGCAAATGTTTCCTGAATGGCTGTAGCATTGAGAAGCAATTTTCTTTTCATGTGAAATCCAATGATACTCACCTCTAACTACAGGTAATGTAGTCTCTGTGGGAGTACATGAGCGTAAGCTCATCTTAATGGAAGCAGAATGTGTATCACTGTATAAATGTCTGTTGAGACAATTTCATGTCTGGGCACAAAGGTGAGGGGGACTCTATGCCATATCTATATGTAAACATAAATAAAATACTTTAGAAAAATTGTATATTTTGTACAACTATGTACAGTGAGTGTTGGGGAGGTGAATCCCATTTTCAAAGGTTCATTCACTGGAGTGTCCTGGTCGCCACCACCCATCTTTTCTTTTTTTAAAAATTTTCAAAGCTCCTCCCACACCCGTTTTCAGTACTCTCTTGCTTCCTGAAATTGTTTGTAATAGTCCTCCTCCAAAGGATTTTCTGTACATTTCTGACCATTGTTAGGTGGCCGGGCTTCATTGTACCTACTCCAGTCCCCTTTGCAAATGATCCAGGGCAAAACATCCACCTTGTAATGAAGTTCTGCAGAGAACTCGATGCTGATCAGGTTGGGAGTGCCAGCCCCTTTCCCTCGGGTAATCAGTTGCATGCTGTCGTCATAGCAGCAATGCTGTGCTGCCAAGGTGGTGCTTTGCAAGGACAGCATGGACCGGATGCAGTAGCGGGCGCTGGGCTTATAGATCTCCAGTTTTTCTTTTGGCCCACTTGCATCTTTCCAGCGGAAGTTCTTCCTTTTCAGACGATCGTAGATCTCTGCTGTGCTATAAGCTACTTCGGTTGGGTAGGTGCAAGGACAAGCGGGAAGATCGTTGACTACTTTGTGCATGTACTTCTTTAAGAATTCACTTTTGCAACTCATCCACCTTTCACAGCTATCCGTATCTGAAGAAGAGAAAGGAGGGCACAAGGGGGGGGGAATCAAACTCTATTAAAATCATAAGTGGTATGATTTATTGATTGGTTTGGAATCTGTGACCCTCTAGATGTTGCTAAACTACAACTCCCAGTACCTTTCCCAGTGGATGTGACTGGAGATGCTATGGTTATGTAACAACATCTGGAAGACCACAGGTTTTCCTTCGTTGTCACACTGTTATCTTTCAAGTGTCAAAAGGCAGGTTTTTACTATGAGTAGCATTGTCACATTTTAACAAAGAGTTGCTTCACTTTTTAGTAGTAATATTTTGCTCAATTTCTTCACAAGGGCTGTATGTTTATCCCTTTAGTACAGGCTTTAAATCAGCATAAAACAATGCTTTTAGCCAAAAGTCATGGCTGGTTTTTTTATTAATTGATTGATCTTTAACTATTTCAGTGTTTTTAAAAAGTCATAAGCTGAATTAAATTATTTAATAAAAGTATTCTTTATTGCAAAAATAATTCTATTGATTGATTAATTGATTGATTGATTAGACGCTTTGTAAGGACTTGGCTCCAAAAGGCTATTTAAAATATTTAAAAGTAATTAATAAACTAATATATAAATCCAGATGCTTTCAATATTATTTTCAAAGGACACATTCCTGAGCCTCAAAGCAAATTTCTTAGAATCAATGTCAGTGACAATGTGCACGTTTGCTATCCTTTCCCCTTGAATGCATATATTCTCAAGTTTTTGTTGTTGCTGTAGTATCACTAGAAGATAAGTTGTTATTTAAAAAACAACATATTCCTGAGTTCTGGAATTGAAGCAGGAATACTGTAATGCAGAGACACTAGCACATAAAGTTTCATGTGCTTTCTTATTAATGTGCAAAGTAAAAGTTGAATTTGTTTTGTCTATAATATACTCCTTTTTAAAAAGAAGTTGCATTAAGATCTATCATTATTATTATACTACTAATAGTATTATTATTTTCTTTTAGCTGATGATATTAAAATAGCTTCTTATAACTGAAGTCAGAAATGGCTTGCATTCCTCTTATAATATTTGGTAAGATAGCAAGAAATCTGGCCAAGTCAGGATGTGCCATAGTGGAATGGTCATGAGTGATGAGGTGGTGAATATGTCTCTAAAGTTCAAATATTTTGCAAGTTTCAGGGAAATCCTTGGCTTTTGTTTGCATTCCTAAGCAATCCTTTGACTTAATGATGTCCTAACCACTGTGGATAGATCTTATAAAGCTATTTATTGTTCATGAAGACTTCCTGAACTTATTATATTCAGCTGTACTATTCAGTTCTTGCCTTTTGTCTTGATGTTGTTATTTAACTTGGAATGTCCACGATACAGCTGGAAATAGTCACTTTTGTTAGAATTTCGCATTGGAAATCACAGATCTCCTGGAAAAGGTTGATGGAGGTTCCATTCAAAAGCCAGAAAATGTTGGCAGGGAGAAATTTCAGAACGCACTTCGTACTAGGGACTCTTTGTATATAGAGCCACTTCCTGTTGGCATATACAACTGAATCTTAACATATAATCTGAGGTAGCTGTCTTAAATGTAGCACTCCCCAGATGCTTTCAAACACAACTGTCCCCCTCAGCCAGTATGCGGTGGTGTAGATTATGACTGTCAATAGATTCCTAAGGGAGTGAACTTGGGCCTACCTATGTCACCTAGAATAAGTTTAAGGGGGGGAGGAAACCCCACCCTTTTTGCTATTATCTACTTACCAACTTCAAAGAGCTTTGTGGCATTGAATTCTTCACTTCCTGCAAGCAAGCTCACTTCTGTGGCAGCTGTTCTGAATGTATCCTCCAGTCCTATACACATTATTTGAAAGAAGGAAAGCACAAGAGTTGTTTCAATAGTCCCACTGTACTTGGAGAGCAAGAGCAAATGCACCGCATGCATTTATTTTCCAAAATTTATTTATTTAACATTATTTACAGCCCCTGGGAAGGGTAAAGCAAAGTCAAGAGAAAGCCAGCACATTAAAAATCAGACATGTGTAATAAACTCATGAACAATGATTGCTTGCCAGAGCACAATAAATCAGTTATAAACTCAGTGTTTGTGTACTCTGATATTCAGAACTGTCTTGAAATGTGTTCAGGGTTTTGAAACACTTTTTTTTCTCTTTGGTATTTTGAAGTCCGTATTTTCAGGCATCGTTGAAGATTACAACAATTTGGATAAAGGCAAAAACTACAAAGTAGTAAAGCAGTAAAGCTTTTCATTATTGCATGCTTGAAGTGCTAGCAGATGAAGGCTATGCATTCCAACTACATTATTAGCAGATCATTATTTAAAAACAGGATGTGCTCTTGATGTTACGGCTTATTAAAACAATGTGACTGAGATGTTTGGCAGGGAATATATTGGGGATATTCATCTTCAGCTTTAAAGAAGCCACTGTTGTATGAGAGGCCTCCTCCCAAGGATGTACAAATAGAGATGGCGGTGGAGGAGGCCACCTTGGGATCCACACGCATGGAGGATCCATGGCTTGAGACTTCTGGGACAGGCCCCTGGTTAACATGGAGGCCATGAACCCTGGGTTCACTCAGATCCCATCCCCAAGAAACAGGGTTTAAAGTCCCAGTACTCCCGAGAAGTATGTAACTTTTAAGGTAGTCAAATCCTGTCCCTACTCAATATTCTGCAGTTTAGACTCTTCACACTGCATTGAGAAATTTGAAGAAACAGAAAAATGATTTCTTATCATTTCAATGTATCATTCTCATTTTCCTTCCTGAGTTTGCCTCATACAAGCCTATTATTTGAAGCGTTTTAGGACAGCCAAATTATAAGTAATTTCGGCAACCTGCTTTTTTCACATACAGAAATGTGTGAATATCGTACTTTCTGCCCAACAAGAGAGGAGAATTCACCATTAACTCTACTGCTTGCATTAAATCATAAAATAGGCACAGCTATGTTTACTTAGGACAGGGGTGGGGAACCTTGGCTCTTTTATGACTTGTGGACTTCAGCTCCCAGAATTCCTGAGCCAGCCATGAAGTCCACAATTCATAAAAGAGCCAAGGTTCCCCATTCCTGACCTTGGACATTTCAGAAGTTTGAATGGTGCTTAAAGGGGCCCTCTGAAAATTTGCATTTGGTTTGCAGGTAAGTATGGAGTGGGGGGAAGTCCTGCTCCCTTGGTGGAAAGAGAAGCAAGTCAGCAAACCTACCACAGCTGGAATCCCCACCCTACCTTCAAAAGCTGGCCCATCCTGCTCTTAATAAGTAAGCAGCATTCTCCTTTGTGAACTGCTGAAAGATTACTATTGTTAGATGAGTGTGTGCTACTTTCTGGGAAGCTATTGTTCAGTACAGCAAGTGTTACAGTCTGAGTCACAGAGGAGGTTCTCTAATTGCATTTCAAGCTGTATGATAGATGCTTGAGGGGAAAGTATTAGAAAAGGAGCACTCCAGTGGCTGAACACATCAATGGTTACCAGAGTGCTTATTTCAGAGTTAGGAGCCTAAGACAGTATAAAGGAGGCATGTGCTTTCGTGATGTCAGCCACTCTTCCTTGAAAACACTGCAGAGTATAACTTTTCATAGTGCTCTGAAATCTGATTTAACTACACAAGTTTCAAGATTTTATATTAGCTTACTATTAATAAAAGCTCAATAATGGGGGGGGGAGGAACAATTAGAAGAGGCATGAGATTCTTAATCCCAGTACTACTCCATCTAGTGCCTTTTGCAAGAAATGCACTTTCTCCCTACCAACTGTCTGTAGATCATACTGAAAAACAGAATATACTTAAATAAAAAGTGTGATTGAGGAGCCTTTTGAGGCAGGGAAACAATTTATGTCATTCTGTGATTTACAAAGATGCAAGCAAGGTAATAATTCCAGCTCCTGCTTGTACTATAAATGATTTGGTCTATATCTACACACACATACAGAGAGAGAGAGAGAGAGAGGGAGGGAGGGAGGGAAAGAGAGAGAGAGAGAGAGAGGTGTCCATGTCCATGGCTCATGGCTAGGAGCAATTTCTATTTCCTACCTGGGCAGTTTGGTCGGTCACATGTCCTCGATTCAGTGGCTGTGCAAGCATATCCACAGGTCCTAGTGCGTTTCTGGTTGCCACTTCCACAAGTTGTACTACAAACTGACCACAGACTCCAGTCTCCTTCTCCCTCTATGTAATCTGAAAAGGAAGAAACACAAAATTGGGAAAACAGAAAATACCACTACCACGAAAGTCTGAAAGCTGTTGAAAGTAGACACAATCTGTGCTGCCATCATCTGCATGCTGGCTGGAGGTTTATCTATGTTGTAGTCAGCCCTGCAGCAAAATGTTGCAACACAGATTTCTACTAAATGTATTCCAGTCAGCCATGCCCCTTTCTATCCACTTTGTATTGTTTTTCAACCCTTTCTAATAATCCATGAGTTTAATTTGTTTTGTTTTTGAGCATGGTCCCATCTTTCTCCTTCTGGAGAAATTTCATCAACCCTGCTTAACACATCCTTCTTCTGCCTGGGTGGTGCCATTTTGACTCTGTAAAGTTCCACTGCTTCTAAACAAGTTCATTGTTAGTACAAGAGCCTTGACGTTAGTGAATAGAATCACCCCATCTATTTGCCTTTCTGTTGAGTCTGATTTCTACCTGATTGTTCCTTCCCCTTCAGTTCATGATCAGAGTGCACAAACATTCCACCCTTGTTGTGGACACCTGTTTTGTACACACATTTGCCAGTGAGGTTTTTGTTCACTCACCATATTCTGGCTGCTCCTTTGATTCAAACATCCGATGACTTGATGGATGCCTATCCCAGCCGTCACTCAAGGGATTTAGGAAGTTGCTGTCTTCAGTCGTGCTATCGTATTTGTAATCCTGGTCTCCACTACTCATGCGAGTGATGGAAGGTGCGGATCTTTGCCACCAGTTTCTCCAGTTTGGTGATGGAACAGGCCAACTGGTTTTGCTGCTTTCTCTTTGAAGACCTTTCTCCGATTCAGACTCTGTCCCATCAACAACTTCTATGGTCACCTGGAGAATTCAAGAAGAAATGGCATTCAGGCCTCAAAGGCTGCCTTCCTTCAGATCAGAAAAACTCTTAACATACTAATAAATCTTATAAAGCCTAAAAAACAGCCACAACCTGGTAAAGAATACATTGGTTTTAAAAAAAAGGTTACAGATCCTATGACCTGGAACAAATTAATAATTATGTCTGTGGTTGCATAACAAGAAAGAGTTTTATATTTTTTACCAATACCTCTTTGCAATTTGTCAGTTATTTTAGCTTTCTTAAAACCATAAAGCAGCAGCTCCCAACCTTTTTTATACCCTGCACTCATGGAACGCTTCTGATATATTCTCGCACCCCTTACAAAAGTTCGAAATAACGGTAACGAATTATGCATATACACTATAATTTTGAAAACCCAAGTTTTCACACCCCCTGGAATATCATCTTACACCCCCAGTTGGGAACTCCTGTAATAAAGGTAGGTGTGTTCAAAGATTCCCACATTTTACAAAGTAGAAGCATGGCAGAGTGAACATTAGAGAGAGGAAGGCACAGAACAAGGACATGTACAAGGCAGCCAAGAGGAGAGATGAACAAATGGAAGACTGGATTCAATGGAAAGTCAAAGAAAATAGGAAATACGTGCATGATTAACATTCTTTTCCCATAGGCCAGTAGTTTATAAACTTATTAAAATTGAGATGTTATTGGACCACAAGGTAGCTCTGAATAAGATATATTGTTTTTACAATTATTTAGCTTACTTTTTTTTAAATTTCTGCTGTAAGGTCCCAGTATTATTTATCAATGGACTATTTAGTATTGTATATTTACACATATTATTATGAATGAAACTGCTGCCTTGGAATATTTGACAAATTATATTGAAATACTGTATTATATTAGCTCCCTAAAATATTCTGAGTGTGATTCCAGCCTCAGTGATGACATTGTTGATAGGTACTGGGGCGTTACGGGAGCCAGAGGGCAGGCTGTTAACAGGGGAAGACACCTCTGATGTGTAGCATTGGTGTCGTGTTCTGTCCACCTAAGCAAACTCCCATCTTTAGATAGTACATCCTTGGAGGACTGGAAGTTTGGCTACTGCCAGTAAATGCCAGGTCGGTCTATAATAAGGCTGCACTTATCTAAGACCTTATTGATGAGGAGCGAGCCAACCTGGCATGCATGACTGAGACCTGGCAGACTCCAGAAGGGGGAAGGGTCCCTCACAGACATGTGCCCAGCTTGGTTAGGTTTTTATACCAGCTGAGAGCCCAGGGCAGAGAAGGTGGAGTGGCCGTGGTCATCCGAAAATCTGTCTTGGCCTTTAGAGGCCTTGATTTCCAACTTTCTGCTTGTGAGACATTATTTCTGAAGCTGGGCTTATGGGATCAGTTGGGATTGTTTCTACTGTATCAGCCTCCCTGTGTGTGGCAACCTCTTTGCCTGATCTGCTGGAGACCATCTCAGGGCTGGCAGTGGAGTTTCCCAGACTTATGGTTTTGGGAGACTTCAACCTGCCATCCCTGGGTTTGACTTCAAAAGTGACCCAAAAGTTCTTGGCCACCATGGAGGCCATGGACCTCTCATCTTGGCTCCAATTTGGGACACACACCAGATATGATCTTGTTGGAGCAATGGCAGTGTGATTTGGTAGGGGGAACTATCGATATCCCCCCGGTCATGGTCAGATCATGCCATCGTATCCCATAGGGAGGCCATACCCATTTGTGCAGTCTGTCCACAGTGACTGATGAACTCGAATGAGTTCCAGAAGGAACTGGGGGATATCCCGGAGGCTTTGCTTCATGGTCCTGCCAAAGCTTTGGTCATGTCCAGAAGAAGAGCCTTTTCTGCTATAGCTCCTGCCCTCTGGAGCATCATGCCCTCCCAAGATGATAGGCCTGGAAGACATGACAGTGCCAACTAGCCTGGGGCCCCAATGGGGGTGTGGATCTTTGGAGGTGGCTAATGGGGTAGAGCAGAGGTCCCCAACCTTTTGGGCACCAGGGACCGGTTCCGTGCAGAGAGGTTTTTCTGTGGACTGGAGGTGGTTTAATGTACTGCTTGCATCCCGCAGATGGGGCTTTGCTTGTTTGCACGGTTTCTGGCATGCTGTGGCCCAGTGCCGGTCCACGGACCGAAGGTTGGGGAACCCTGGAGTAGAGGACAACCCACTTCCTCCCTGTGCTCAGTTTGCTCCTACCCTCTCCATCCTGATGAATTTTGTTTTAGGGTCCAAACTGGGTAGATCAACAGGATCCGAGGTTTTGTCTTCCGAGCTTTTGAGCTAGCGTTGGAGCCCATCTTATTCCAACTTATATTGTTTATATATTTTATCCAAGTATAAAATATAAAGGAAAACACAAATAGAAAATTAGGGAAAGGAAAAAAAGAGAGGGAAAGAAAACATGTGGTACAAGGGAAAAAAGAAAGAAAAGTATTGACTTCCAATTCTTTTTAGCACAGTAGAAGGTAACATTACAGCCTCAGCTTTTTGCTTGTACACGTTAGTATATAACTAGCCATTCTTATAACAACAAATGTATCTAATCGGCAAAACCAAAGTCAACGTTTCATTATTTTTCAGCACAAGCACAAAATCCAGAAATGACTTCCAAATAAAAAATATGTAATTAAATATATTCTCCTCTTTGAATAAAGCAATCAGTTTAACCATTCCTGCTTTTTCTTCCTTGCTGTGGAAATATATATTTTTATTTGCATTTAATAATGTTTATAAACTATCACCACTTATACTAACAAAATTCACTGTATTAGTTCAGATTGTTTAAACTTAAAGGGAAAAAAAATATTTTCCCCATCTATTTTAAATCACTAAACCTTTCTTTAAAAACATTTCTAAAATTAAAAAGTTATAATACATTTTTTAAACTCGCTCTTAACATACATACCTTAAAGTTTACTTTCAGTTAGACTAATAAAGTTCCAACTCACCTCAATTAACTCATTAAATTTAAATCATTCCCTCCAAGTTATCCTCATAAAATGATTTTTTTCTTCTATACATCATTTTTAAAACTCTAAACTTTTCGTTAAGCTAATATATCTTTTTCTTTAACTTTCTCTTTACATAGATACTTTCAAATACATTTTCAGTAATATTTTACAAGCTTTTAAGAATTACCTAAGCATTATATATAAAGGGGAAAAGATGCATTTTCAGACCCACTTTACATTAAAACTTTTTTTCAATTACAAATATCAGACCGATAAAAATCCATCCTAATGCCAATTGACTCATTATGTTTAAGTCCTCCTTTTAGTTTATCTTCATGAAATAAAGTCTTTTTCTTCTCTGGAATGTTTATCATGTAGTTACCAATTTCTCTTTTTCTCAAGGATTTCTCAACGTTGTTAGTGTCCATGAAGAAAAAGTCTATTTGAAAGTTGCAGATTTTCTTGGAACTCTTCTTTCAATCGTGTTGGGAGATTTATATTTAAACCATCATAATAATGATTGGTATCAGGTTTATATTCCAAAGTTGCAATTGACTCCTCTACATCAAGGCTGGCCAACCTTTCTGGGTTGGCGGCCTGAAGGGCAAGGGAGGGACAGGCACCTTTATGCATGCATGCGCACACACGCAAATGGGGCTGCTTCTTCAACAACAAACTGATTGCAGCCCCGCCCCTCCAGCTGTTGGCACACAGGGTGCTTCAACGCACGGCCCCTGAAGCTACATGCAAACCGTTGCTGTGTGGAGGATCTTGTGGATGATTCTAGAACTCTCCCTAACCCAGGAGAGTTATGTAAACTAAAGGAATGCCAGTTCCTTCTGTTGGTAAGTTGAAAAAGTGACAGCCAAGGAAAAGCCCTTCAGGGATCTTTCCCTGGACGTGGTCGTTTAGTTGGCCATCTTCATTAAAAGTCCACTGGAGTCCATCTTCAGGGAACTTCTCTCCAGCTTGAGATTAGATCCTGGGACATGTATAGTTGCCATCGTTTGTGAGTTCTATTTTAATTGAATATTAAACTTATGATCCTTATTTATTGTTTTAATGTTTTATAGTGAATTTTAATTGAATGTCTGCATACTACTTAGAGTTGCCTCTGGCAAGATGGACAGCACACAAGTTTAAATAAATAAATAAATAAATAAATAAATAAATAAATCTACTTATATCATCCATAGAATTTTATCGGACAGCACACGTTAAATAAATAAACAAATAAATAAATAAATAAAAGCTACTTATATCATCCACAGAATTTTCTCAGTACAATCAAACCACTGATCCATTTACTCCAACATTATCAGTACTAGAAGTGATTCTTCCCCAGTCTGATTCAAAATTTGGGAAACGCAGACCTACCAATCCAGAAGGCATCAGATTGGGAAAAATTCCTCAAATACACTGATGTACCATTGTTTGTATTAATATTACCTTCCTAATTTCCAATAATACCCTATACATTTTTCAGTTCAGCTGTATTTCAGTGCACTACTGTGCACGTCTATGCATGTTTTCACATGGACTAAAGAAATTTACAGTATATTTAAACATGCACAGACATTTGATGGAGAAATTATACCATACAGTGAGATGTATCTCTGCCTGGAGAGGGAACACCTCAAGCATAATTGAAGAAGGGGACTTTAATTCATGAAATCCTACCTCGTACTGTGATTTGGTTGGCCTTCGAGGTGTACCAGGGCATATTTGGTTTTATGGCAAATGGTTATTAGGGCTCCCTCTATGAAAGCATGGGAAATAGTTACTGAAAAACTGGAAGAAAGGGAACATTCAAGTCAAGAAATGAAATATCGAACCTAATTTCAGGGCCTTCTAGTACTCACTCGCAATTTAAAGAGGCTTGAAAAGCAAAAACATACATCACACAAAAAAAATAAAATAACTTGGCAGCCAAGTCCTTTTGCTTACACATGACTTCACTTTCTTTCGAAGGAGAAGAAAGTGAAACTGTTGCCCGGTGAATAGCCCTGCTATGCCAGCCTGACTGCATGAGTTGGCATGTGTCAAATCAATGCCCATTAACAAAAGAGCTCAGAGGAGGGGGGGGAATCAATGCTCCTCAAGGAAATATCTTTAAAAGTACCTCGTTTTCAAGAGCTTCCTGGGAATCCCTTTACTTGGGTGCAGCCGTGCATTTGGCTGCTGATTTGGCAATCAAATTAAAAAAGCAGCTGTAGCACAAAAGTAACAGCTGCTTGGGTTACTCTTTCAAATGATTCTGAGGAGCTGAATACAATATTTTGTTACTGAAACAGATGCAGGCAAACGATCAGCAAACAGATAAGCACTGTGCTCATTTCCACTGGCAGTAGGTTAATGCAATCCTAGAAAGTCTTTCTCAGCAGTGGATGGTGGCTATTTTAAAGCACAAATGTTGAAGCTGCCCTTCCTCGATCTCCAGATGTGTTTAGAGTGTGACAGCTTCCCGAATTCCCAGCTGGAATGGCCAATGGGCAAGGCAGGTTTAAATAAATATTTATATTAAGCCTAAACAGATAAAGAGGAGACGAAATAGGAAGAAATTGACTACTTTACATGTATCTACTTGAATAAATGTGTTGGACTGTCATATAGAACATTACATAGATATACAGTATTCAGTTCTATTCACAGGCAAACATTCTATTTTAGAATATTGGAAATATTCTAAGATAATCCCAGAAGAAGTTGCTTGAGATCTAATGGTGACTCTAAATTTAAGGTCCCTAATATGGCCTACAAAAATTCAGATGACCATGAGACAGCAGCAAAGGATACAAAAATCTCTGTTTGCTGTCAATTAATGGTTATCACATTTTTTCCAATCCAGTTATGATTTAGAATAGAATAGAGCAGGAAGGGACCTTGGCGGTCTTCTAGTCCAGCCCCCTGCTCAAGCAGGAGAACCTATACCATCTCAGACAAGTGACTGTCTAGCCTCTTATAAATCTCCAGTGATGGAGCGCCCACGATTTCTGGAGGCAAGCTGTTCCACTGGTTAATTGTCCTCACTGTCAGGAAGTTTCTCTTTAATTCCAGGTTGCTTCTCTCTTTGGTCAGTTTGCAACCATTGTTTCTTGTCCTGCCCTCTGGTGCTTTGGAGAATAATTTGACCCCCTCTTCTTGGTGGCAGCCCCTCAAATACTGGAATAGTGCTTTCATGTCTCCCCTATTTCTTTTTCTTTAGACTAGCCAAACCCAAGACCTGCAGTGTTCTTCGTATGTTTTAGTCTCCAGGTCTTTAATCATCTTAGTTGCTCTTCTCTGATTTTTTTTTCCAAACTCTCAACATCTTTTTTGAGATATGGTGACAAAATTGGCTGCAGTATTCCAGGTGTTGTCTTACTAGGGTTTTATAAAGCAATATTAATACTTCACATGATCTTGATTCTATGCCTCTGTTTATACAACCCAGGATTGTATTAGCTTTTTTGGCTGCTGCTGCACATTGCTGGCTCATAGTCAAGTGATCGTCCACTAGGAAGCCAAGGTCCCTCTCGCAGTTACGGTTTTTAAGCCAGGTCTCGCCCAATCTGTACTTGTACCTTTGATTTTTCCTGCCTAAATGTAAAACTTTTCTCCACATTGAAACTCATTTTGTTGGATAGGACCCATTGTTCAAGTTTGTCAAGATCTTTTTGGATCCTGAGTTTGTCTTCTAGGGTGTTGGCTACTCCTGCCAGCTTGGTGTCATCTGCAAATTTGATGAGTTCCCCTTCAATTCCCTCATCTAAGTCATTGATGAAGATGTTGAAGAGTACTGGGCCTAAGACAGAACCTTGTGGTATCCCACTGCTTACTTCTTTCCATGTGAATGTAATGCCGTTGAAGACTACTTGTTGAGTATGGTTCGCCAGCCTGCTACAGATCCATCTGGTGGTAATGTTGTCTATTCCACCTTTTTCTAACTTACCAAGGAGTAGGTTGTGGTCTACTTCATCAAATGCCTTACTAAAATCTAAGTATACTACTTCCACAGATTTCGCTGGTCTATTAGTTTAGTTACTTTATCAAAGAATGAAATAAGATTGGTTTGGCATGATCTGTTTTTAACAAACCCGTGCTGGCTACTATAAACCTATCTAAAGATACAAAGTTGGTTTCCAAAGTAATGTTGGTCTAAAAGATTTGAGGTTTATTCTGATTTAGCTGTGGTTCAAAACTCCTCAGGGGAAGTTAATCTATTTAAATTTAAATTAAAACTATGCCTTTAACTGCATACATTTTATCATATAGATGCTGTGGTGAGATTTCTTTAGTGTTAAAAAAAATCATCCAAGGCAAAGTTAACCACTCCAACATTAATTTCCAGTTTCCTTTTCTGCTGTTCACATTACAAGCTAAGGCTATGGAACATCTGATATTACACCACAGCTAATAATGAGATTTCAATAAGATGCATTATTTAATTCAATAATGATTTCAACTACACCACAAAAATTTAACCCTAGAGCAAAAATACAGGAATTTAACAAAGCACCCTTTTCTTGCACCTGCTATTGTCATATTTTTTCACATAGAGCCCAAATATTTAATAGGATTCATGCAATATTATTTATTTCCTTTGTAATATGAAATGTCCAATTATTATCTTGCTTTCCCCCCTTTGTTCCTGTATTTGAAAGTGCTTTTTAAAAAAAGGTACACATTAAGTCCATGATCACTTTAAAATAAAATTTAAAGAATAAAACAGAAGACCTTTACCTGGATGTTAGGGTTTTGCCCATTGATATCTGCTTTTGAGAAGTCGGGAAAATTTGGAAGATCGAAAAGGAAAGATCTGGGCCCATCTTTTTGCAAGGATGTATGTCCGTTCTGCTGCCTGAATCGCTGCTTGGCCAATGACCGATGTGCTGCCTGGTGACCAGGATAATTCTGTCGATCTTCTGGGTCTAATGTGAAGCTGCTTTCAAGAGATGAAAGGCTCTCTGTGTGAAGGATTTCCTAGGAGGACAAAGAAAAAAAGGAAAGAAATTCAATTTTTGTAGATCCAAGAAAGATATTAGGCTGGATACAGCAAGGTTTAGCAGAAGTAACTCTGTTGTGGACATCTGTGGGTAGAGGAAGGCAAAAGGGGAAATGACAACTTCTGTGTGATAGTTTATAACACAAATGACACAATATGAAAGATCACTGCACCATTTGTATGACATCATGACATCTAAGTCATTATCTGGAACTCATCGTGGCTTGCTACACACCCTACTGATTCTGGAAGTAATGCTTTATGTACATTTCTGCAAAAAAAAATCTGTGAGATGTTGTACAATGAAAGATCTCATGCCTTATGGAATGCTTTGTGACCTTGAATAAGACACTTCATATGGATTTCAGCTCTTTTAGGATACAAAATTCTGGTGTTAAGTTGGAAAAGATCTTTCTGAACACCAAAGAATCCTTCATTCAAAGAAGAAGGGCACCAGTGGATCCATCTTCCAGAGCGGCTTATATTAAAGCTATCAAAACCTTTGTGCTGGTGAAATGAAAAGACACATGCAGAAAAGAACCAAGCTCATGGCCTTTGCAATGGCATGCCTACAATCAAGAAAACAAGTCCATAACATTTACAGTATATATTCAAAGGTACTACATGTTTCAGTTTTATACGCTTCAGTCTTCTATCCTCTACAGCAGCGGTGTCAAACTCGCAACATCACGTGACGTGTCGCGACGTATCGTGACTTTTTTAGCCATTGTCAGCAATGGGATGGGCGCGATTTCACATGATGCATCCGGCCCACAGGCCGGCAGTTTGACACCCCTGCTCTACAGTATAGAGGTCATTAAAACTTTAGCAGTGATGGAAAAATAAAACTACAAACTACATGTCAAACAGTACAACAGGCTTCCCTATCACATACATGGTCTGGAGGAGGCAGGAGAGGAGAAATAAAATGTGCATTGTGATATTGATGGAATAACCTTCCTATTATAATTGATTTATTATGTCGCTTACAAATGTGTAAGGTGCCAAACTTGCAGTCTTGTTGAGGCATCACAACACACATATCATTTCGATGAAATCTCGGCAGATACCTCTTGTACCATACTACATAGTCTGTGCTGCTCTTCAGTATATCCCAATCCTGTCTCCTCACTTGATGTCTAGCAGTACAAGAAAGAAATTGGCAATACATCTATATGACTTTTGCATTCGCAGGGCAAGGAAATAATAGAAAGTGGGTCATGGATATTCTGCAAGGGAATTTTGATGCTTGCTAGTTTGCTGATGTAAAAGTTGGAGTTTTTAACAGCTGGGCCCAGATGTTTTCAGTTGCCATCTAATATGAGAGCTACATTCTTGAAATTATGAAGGTTAAATTGAGACCGATGCAGAAAGGGGAACAGAATGCCAGGTGCTATTAAGAAGCTTTGAAAGCCTTAGTGCTTGCCTAAGAAACTATGGGTTGCTCATTGGAGATGAACACAACTATAATGGGGTGCAGAAAAGGAAACAAGAAAATTGGAAGCTTCAAACTCTGTGTCAATATTCTTTTTTTAAAAAAAATAGTTATGTTTCATGGGCACAAACATAACAATCACAATAGGCAATGTCCCATCATTTCTAATAAACATGTTGCATTGTTCCCCTTCTCCACAATTTGGAGCTGAAAAGCAGGCAAGAAAACACTTTCCATGCTCCAGAAAGTGCCCCCAAGGAGTAGCACCATTTTGGGGACAATTGCCCTCTTCTAAATTCTGTGTTTGGGTAAAAGCTGGGACTTTAAATATACTCAGAAATCTCAGGAGACCAGTAGAATTACAGAGATGGACCTAAATCTAGAAGGGTAACAAGTTTGTGTTATGTGTTAAAGATATTTCTAATTACACTAAAGAGCAGCACATGAACAGGAATGAACAAAAATCCATACATATCTGTTGTGTGATAGACATGGTCATAGTGATAAATTTTGGCTCACTATCAAATAAAAGTGTGTATTCGTATGTTTACATCTTAGCTTACTTCTAGAGGTCTCAGAATGGCAAGGTTCTTTCCCCTAGATACCCATAGAAAGACATGATAAAGTGGGTTGTCTAATAAAAAGATGGCTGGCTCAAGATCTGCAAAGATCTTTTTGATTGAATAAGGTTGAACTTGGATCTCACATGTACTAGTACAATTTAATCTCAACCGTACAGTATCTCTAAACTTCTTATATATTTTGGACTAGAACTCCTGGCCATTAGCTATAGAAACTACAGGTCACAAAGTTTCCTGCCCTTGCTTTGTGACCCACCAAGCATCCTTAGGCAGCCTACGGATGTTTTTTTGAAAACTCAGACTATGTGTTGCTGCTCCCAGGAAGGATCTGCTGCTAGATCATTTTTCACAGCCACCTCCTCCCTGAAGACATGCTACTGAATGTTTGTCACATCTCCAGGCCTTATTGACATTGCCAGCTTTATTGCTGCCAGCATTGCTAGCCACCCAACAGTTGATTGGCAGGCCAGCTATTCCTTTGTGCCCTGCAATTATCGGTCATGTAGCAATGTGGCAGTTTGTTCCCTATGAGTTTTGCTGTCCTGCTCAAGTATATCGTCACTGTCTAGAACAGTCTTTTCCAATCCGGTGCTCTCCAGATATGTAGCACTATAATCCACGTTGGCTACTCTGATTAAGAAGGATGAGAGTTATAATTTAATTAATGAGGAAGGCAGGGTTGGGGTTTTTTTTGAAGATCTAGAAGGTCCTTCCCCATGTTGATTTCAGTTGGGCTTTTAATGACGGGCATGAAAGTTAACAATTTGCTTTAAATCCATGTGGCCTATTTCAAAGATTTCACACAGCTGTTTCAGGTTTCCAGCAGACAGATGTTCTGTAATCATTTTCACTTTTCCTGCCTATCTCTTAAAATTTTCAACATCTTGTTCCAAATTTATTTCTGGAATTATCATCTGCCAAATAATATTTTGTAAAAAAAAACATTTTGTTTATACGGGTCACAAAAAACAAGAATTCACTATTCATTTAGAAGTTAAAAACAACGTAAGTATGCAATAGGAAAAAAGCTACATTTACAAAAAAGAAAGAAAGAAAAGGAAACCAGAAGATCCTGGGACAAACAACCTATTTAAGCAAAAGATACTTTGCCTGACAAGGAAGTCTCATTGGTGGTATTCTTCATTTAAAGTTTGACATAGTTGAGCCTGGAAGCAAACTGAAGTAAAATAAAGTTTGTTTCCAAGAACTCTAATTAAGATCTAAGCCAGAGAAAATGTTCCACTTTTCATGTTTAGTCCCCAAATGTCACATTACGAGAAAACAACAACCCATCATGGTGTTGGAATGAAATGGTTGTTTAGATAGGTAGAGATAAAGGCAGAGGCAGATAGATAGATAGATAGATAGATAGATAGATAGATAGATAGATAGATAGATAGATAGATAGATAGATAGATAGATAGGTAGGTAGGTAGGTAGGTAGGTAGGTAGGTAGGTAGGTAGGTAGGTAGGTAAGTAGGTAGGTGGAATGGAATAGAATTCTTTTATTGGCCAAGTGTGTTTGGACACACAAGGAATTTGTCTCCGGTGCATAAGCTCTCAGTGTACAGTAATAGTAATAATCATAATCATATACAACATGAAAATACATTCCCCTCTCTTCCAAACCCTTTATAAAAAAAACACACTGAGGCCAATTCATTTTGTTGATTTGCATAGGCGTAACATAGTTGGGTTGCAAAACTCCAGATGACACTAGAAGGCAATTAGAGAGACAGAATTAGTAGCCCTTCTGCTGGTTAGATTTTATGCTTGTTATTGTACAATGTCATTCTGGTTTTGTTTTAATTTTCTTTGTATTTTATTTATTTATTTATCAGTCGGTTGCATTGACTGTCATGTTTAGTGCAAAAGTTGGATATAAATCTAATGAAAGAAACAAGAAATAATTTTACCACTATTTCCTATGGTTGCAGGATTTTCATACAGTGGTCTCTCCTCTTGCTGCTCAGAGCTTTTCAACTCTTTTTAATTCTTAACTCTTTTTAAAATATCTTTTTAGCCTTTGCATCAAACCAAATGCTACAGTTCATGCTACAAATTCAAAATACGTTAAGATAGTAATTCTCTATATTCAATAAAGTTTGTAAGAATGATAACTATCCTGCTTTCTGAAATATATAAAGTATATAAGAACCATCAAGAATGCTTATGACCCCTTAGCATAATTTCTGAGGGTAAACCTATATTATCTTTAATAACGTATCAATTAATTTAAACTCCCAAAGAAGCCGGCTAGTGAAACAAATAGGTCTAGCTTTGAAATTTTGTTACAAGTGCACCTGGATTGCTCCTATGCCATGTATAGCAGACTATTGGACCATTGAGAGGAGAAACCGTAGACTTGGCCTTTTTTGAAGCTAATAATGGACTAAGTGATAGTCCAGGTTTCCAGAACACCTGGTTTATAATTAAAAATATTTAACACAGAGGCTTCAGATGAAAGTCTGTAAGAACTGTAATACCCACAGTACACGGTTCCTTCCTGTAAGCAACAAAGCATAGAGGAATAAAGCTCTGCTACACATTAGGAGTCTCTGGCTTGAAAATTAATGAATGCGGCCTCGTTTCAACATTGTTCAAGCCCTAACCCTCCTCTCTGCCGATGCTCTATTGTTACAACATCAAAGACCAACTGCTGGCTCAGATACAGTCAATATGAAAAGAGAAGAAGGCCCCTTAAATTTACTGCTTGACTGCATTCTCTTTAAACGGATGGCACCACGGTCCTCTTTCAAAGGAGGTATCCCAGACATAGATCATCTTTATAGGACATCATGTACAATAAAACAAAGCTATAACTTTACAAAACGCAAAAAAAAAAAAACCCCAACAACCCAACAACAAACAATGTGAAGCACCTTTAAAGACTCCCCATGAGGTGAACATTCAATTTAAAAAAAAGAAATCACTGTGTATTCCACCCATGGTTCAAAGCTGA